ATATTTGACGTACTACAAAAATTACAACCCCCGCAATTGAGGATTACTGTGCATATAAGTCTGAATTTCTTAATAAAATTCGTAATTTTAAAACCAAAAGAACTTTGACTTTAAAGAGCAATTGAAGGGTTGCTTATGGATCATTTATACATAATCGATTAACGAATTATAAATATTTGGTGTACTACAAAAATTACAACCCTCGCAACCGAGAATTACCTACTATACTATGAGTCCAATTTTCTAATAAAATTCGTAATTTTAAAACCAAAAGGCACTTTAACCTTAGAGAGCAATTGAAGGGTTGCTTATGGATCATTTATACATAATCGATTAACGAATTATAAATATTTGGTGTACTACAAAAATTACAACCCTCGCAACCGAGAATTACCTACTATACTATGAGTCCAATTTTCTAATAAAATTCGTAATTTTAAAACCAAAAGGCACTTTAACCTTAGAGAGCAATTGAAGGGTTGCTTATGGATCATTTAAACATAATCGAATAACGACATTTAAATATTTGACGTACTACAAAAATTACAACCCCCGCAATCGAGGATTACTGTGCATATAAGTCTGAATTTCTTAATAAAATTCGTAATTTTAAAACCAAAAGGAACTTTGACTTTAAAGAGCAATTGAAGGGTTGCTTATGGATCATTTAAACATAATCGAATAACGACATTTAAATATTTGACGTACTACAAAAATTACAACCCCCGCAATTGAGGATTACTGTGCATATAAGTCTGAATTTCTTAATAAAATTCGTAATTTTAAAACCAAAAGGAACTTTGATTTTAAAGAGCAATTGAAGGGTAGCTTATGGATCATTTAAACATAATCGAATAACGACATTTAAATATTTGACGTACTACAAAAATTACAACCCCCGCAATCGAGGATTACTGTGCATATGAGTCTGAATTTCTTAATAAAATTCGTAATTTTAAAACCAAAAGGAACTTTGACTTTAAAGAGCAATTGAAGGGTTGCTTATGGATCATTTAAACATAATCGAATAACGAGATTTAAATATTTGACGTACTACAAAAATTACAACCCCCGCAATCGAGGATTACTGTGCAAATGAGTCTGAATTTCCTAATAAAATTCGTAATTTTAATATCTACCAAAAGGAACTTTAACCTAATTTTGTTTGATTTGGTAACGTTTCTGTCCCAATTTCATCAAACCCGATACTATTGTTTGTGTAACTTCAACCCTTTTCTAAGATTTTGGAATTTCAAAATTTCGCTTTTCTAAGGTTTTAAATTAGGTACCTACCTCTATTTGCGTGAAGATCATGTCGTTCTTAATCGTCATGGTTGGGGAGAGTTGTCGGCTGAGGATCGCCAACTGTACTCGTACACGTTCGTGGACCACTGGCAAGCGGGACCGGTGAGATATTCCAAACACTGAAAAGAGAAATATTATAAATATAAAAAAACTACGGTTTATATAAAAACCGGCAAAAAAATGTGCAGAATTAAAATATTAGTAGCTGTCGTAGTTTTATAGATAAGAAGCACTTTCTTATGAATGAGTATGTATCTAATCAAAACAACAAATGCGCTATTATGAACGACTCAAAAACCATGACGTACTCACCTAGTTCAATTGAAAGTTGAGATCACCAGGATTAGGGTAGACTTGAATCCAGTCATCTGTGGACAATCAATGAGATTAGTATACCCGCCAAAGTATACTCATAAAGTGTGTTTGTTCAATAATTAGCTAGATAATCAAAGATGACTTACGATTAATCATCTGAGAGTATCTAATTATTACATAAACGTACACTTCTGTAACGATTACTCACCTTCCTTTGAAAACCAAAAACCTGATCTTCACGCAATACTAAATGGGGTATGATCAACCTCCAAGACATGTTCATTGGAAACATAATGACTGGCTGCAGTACTTCCTCGCGGAGGAAAACTGTTCACTTCACTAAATTAGTATGGCTATGAATTCATGGCCATAACAATTCATATGGAGTGAACTGCTGATGACCATTCCAAGAATTACTGCTGCCAGTCTATTACGCCACAAAGATTAACGCTGAAAGAGTTAACCACAACTCAGTTAGAACTACAATACGAAGATCGGCTAAAATTATTCGTTGATTCTTATTTTAGTCACTTTATACACTATTCACTTTTCCCCCACTGCTAAATACACAAAATAAATGCAACAAGTCATGCTTAGAACAGGAAAAATCCTACCTTTATAAGGCTGCCCTTCTGGAATCTGAAACAAAAGAAAATATGTTAAAATGACGAAGAAAATTTTTCAAAATTGTTAATAGTGTCTATGTTTTTTTTTGGAATACATTACGTTATGAATAGTGACTACGTATGCTCAAATTAAATAGTATAAATTTACCCTTTAGCCTTATTCATTCCGTTTTGGACCACAGGACGCTGCTACCCGCAGCCGGCGTTCAGGCATTGTGAGTTGCGATCACTGAAAAGTGAGAAATATATATTACAAAAGAGCTCTCGTGATTTTTGTGTAAAACTATAATTACTGGACATTTGGTTTACATAAAATATGAGAAATTAAGACGGTACGTAATTTCGGAGCGATCCAAATCGGGTTATATTAAAACCAATTGTGTACTTACCTCATTATCCTGAATCGTGTTCAACAGAATTGAGTTGATACCTCTCAAGTAGGTGCAGGACGAGGGCGAGGTCATCATTGGCGCTGTGAACAATCGAAAGGATTTGTAAGTACTCATGTTATAACAAACACCTATTGGCTCTGTTCGTTTATTAATCAATTACCTCAATGTGGTCTTTCGTCTCAATGTTAAGATCATCTTATACATTAATAAACGAACATAAGCCTATGATGGATTAATCACTTACCTTCCCTTAAAAACATGATCTTCGTATGACAATCTTTGGTAACGAAAAAATTGACTGGAATAGTTCCTCATGGCCTCATTTACAAGAAAACCGATACGGCTGTGAATCATAGTCATACCGGACGATTTAGGGTAACTGTTTCATGCCACGAGAGAATCATTGCAGTCAGTCTTACATTATCAAGATGACTATACGAAGGTCAGTTAAAATAATTACCTGGTTGATTTTCTTCATGGTCACAGTATTCACTATTCACTCCCCCCTCTTTTAAATACACAAAAATAGAATACCACCACCCATGCACCGAAAAAGAAAAATCCTACCTTTATAAGGCTGCCCTTCTGGAATCTGAAACAAAAGAAAAATATGAAAAATTTTTTAGTAGTTAATAGTGAATCTCTATGTTACGTTTTTTGTTTCTGGAATACAGTACATTGTGAATAGTGACTATTAATGCTCAAATTAGATATTAGAAATTTACCCTATAGCCTTATTTATTCGGTTTCGGACCACATGACGCTGCTAGTTCCACCCTGTCCACTCTTATATCGTAACCCAGAATCCAAGGCTGCCCTTCTCGAATCTGAATCAAAGAACAGAAATATACACTAAAACTATGAAACACGAGTAAGGAATTTGAGTTTTTACATGCACGGCGGTTAGAAGGGCCTTAATGTAAAAGGTTTATTTAAAATCTCTCCTTTTGTTGTGCTTTACCACAAATATCAAGTTACTAATTTTCATCCGGAGACTGAAAATGGACCTGCAAACCGAGAAATAGTTCCAATTTTTTGTATGTCATAGAGGATCATCTAGTGGTTAAGAATCTAAGTTTTCGACCTCCCACCACTTGAGCTTTCCCGTACCCCCGAAATTTGTTTGGATTTTTAGTTTTTCACACATATTTTTTTAATGGTTTACTGGACTTATTTAAGTTTAACCCCTGCCATCCGCTACAAAAAGGAATGATTATTTCAACCTCCTATTATAGTAGTTCAACTATTTAGCTTTCGAACGTAATTTACAAATCATTATTTTATATTAATCCTGTGTGTGGTTGCTAGTCCCAGGTGGCGGATAGAGAAATGCTCGCCAGATATGACGGGTACCGAGGAAGTAACATATCCGGGGTGGGCCAAAACTAATACGAACCGTAGCGTCTAATCCACAGTGGACGGCTACAACAGCGACGGAGACCCAGAGTGGGTGGCTGATGCATAGGGTTTCCAGTAGGGGGTTGTGGTGTTACATATAGAAAGAAGTATAAATTGTGCACTTGTGCAGATAAACCGAAATAGCTTTTGTTTTGACATCACCAATAGATATATGTCTTGCAGACGTCTCAATCGCCCTTTGTGAGTACCCTCTTCCGACAATCCGTTCTTGAGGTATAAGGGAATATAACCAATCACGATAAGAGGTCGAGGAGGAGGGCTATGGTTGGTGGAAATTAATTCCTTTCGTTGAGACCTTTCATAAGAGTACCATGAAGGATAAAACTAGTTCCACTCCCCCCCCCCCTCCTTCGCCCCGTACTTTGATAAGAGGACAGAAAGAAGGGCAGTAGTTGGTAGAAAACGGTTCCTTTCGTTGAGACCTTTAATTAGAATACAATGAGAGATCAAATTAGTTTTTAACCGCTCCCCCCTCGGGCTCCGTCGCTCGCTGATCTCGAAAAAGAGTCGCACGGGAAAATTATAGTTTGTATAAAGCAATTTATTTCCATGAGACCTTTCATTAGAATACCATGAAGGGTAGAACATGTGAGCCCTCCCCCCCCCCCCCAATTTTCTAAAGTTTAACTTGGCACCACTAAAGGCATGCGTATGCAAACATCTGAGACCAATTGGTTGTCGTATGTAAAAGTTATGCACGTTTTACTTTCAAAACAGCATCTCAGGAAATAATTCGTGGGGGGGGGGGCCTTTTAGACAGCGAAATTTGATGGCCGTCTGGCAAACCTTCAAGGTATACGCTACCTACTGCAAAAAATTCCAGGACTGTAGGACCATTTCCCTAGAAGTAGTTCGAAACGGCAGAAGTGGGTTCGGATGGACGGACGGACAAAACGCAAACATTTTTTTAATTCTTACAAAAATGCGCTAAAAATTAAGGGAAAAGAAGATGACAGAACGGAAAAATGAAATAATCCACTCCTCATTAAGGGGACATAGAATAGGAGGGGGGGGGGGTATTCCGTGAGGAGTGCTCCGGACCAGTGTCAACATTCAACCAGAAAACATAAAAGCGAAAGGAAGGGTGAAGAATCACCATTGCAAAATCAGAGACCAATTGGTTGGCGCATGTAAAAGTTGTGCACGTTTTACCTTCAAGAACAGCATCTCAGGAAACAATTAATTCATGGAGGGGGGGGGAGTCCCTTTAAAACGGCGAAATTTGATGGGCGCCCGGCACACCTTCAACGCATTGCAAAAAATTCCAGGAATCTAGGATAATTCCCCTAAAGGTGGGTCCTGATGGACGGACGGGCAGGCGGCCGGAAAAATAGCAAACAATAGCACTTTTTTTAATTCTTAAAAAATGCGCTAAAAATGAACGAAAGGGCGAAGGGGTGTCCGATATTGATTTTGAAAAAGAATTTATTCACAAACGTTACTCATTGCAATTGAAAATAACGGTTTAATAGCACTTCCCGATTTACGCCCAGAACAACGGACGGACGGGCGAAGAATGGGTCGTCTTCCGAGGGATATTACCTAATACGATTATTATTCATAGTGGCTATACATGTACTAGTACTATTTACTACAGTATGAACTGCGATGAAAGATGAGTTTACACTGTATTAGAAGAAAGTCGCAGGTGTCTAATTTATAAATCCGCATTTCCTATGTGTCAGAAAAACTGAGCACTTGCAAATAAATACCGTCAAATTAGATCGATTTTGCCATCAATTAGTGAGAAAAATCTTCTCTTGTGCAGAAATTGTTTGAACCTTTAACCATATAGCCCATTATGCATAAAAATTAGTACGTTCCTAATTAAAAATTTGAAATTTTTCAAATCGATTCAACGTAATTTTAGTTGATTAGTATAAATACGAGATTATTTTAAAAGAATGTCTTGATATCGCCTCAACGGCCGCATCTGGTGATGACGTGGCGCGTTATCTCTGTACACGTGGCAGGTAACGCTACAGTTTCGACTTTTAATTTACCATTCGGATAGTTTTAGAATGAAAATATTTACACTGCGGTTTATTTAATTTGTTCATATAAGAGTTAATTACATGTTTTTGGATTTCCAAGTTATCACATGTGACGAAAACCCACTTTGGAACATCTTCACCATAAGCAACTAGTTTCCTTTTGACCATTATGAACCTAAACCACCGACTAAAAAAAACAAAATCGTTTCCAAATAAATTTCTGAATTTTTGTTTCATGGTAGTAATTCCTAATAGGCACAAGAGGATATGTTTTTTTTATGATGGGTACATTTAGCCACGGGCCCTTTTACCGCCCCAATTAAATAAGGTAAAAACTCACCCTTTAAGCTTTATTAATTCAGTCTCTCCAAGGGAAGAATCACTACCCAACACCATTGGAAAAACACGAAACACAACCGTCGACGTTTCTCGCGTTACTACAATCGGGATCGTGACGTAGACGGACAGGTAGGTAACAAGTGAGACAGAAAACAAGTGCCTTATCGAAATACTTTGCTACAGGTTGCTTTCGCGTACGCTCCCTCCAATTTCCAATCGTCAAAGGTGGAATTTATTCACAAATTTAGCGTTTTGAGTACAGTTTAATCAAAATACGCAACGATATCCAATTTTGATTTGTTTCAAAATTGAATTTGAAGGAAATTATTTCAATTCAGGTAATGGATGGCACAAGTCTGTTGTTTAAAATTCTTATAGAGCATATTTGGGGCATTGGCATTCTTTTTAGCGCATTTCCACAAAAAAAATGCGCTATTGTGGCCACTTTGTCCGTCCGTCCGTCCGCTCGTTCGTTGAGACGCTACTAGTTCTTTATCTTAAGAGCTATTGTTCTACTTTTTTCGCTATTTGGTTCGTTATGGTGTTGAGGCTTGCACCAAGGAAGGAATTTTTTCTGAGTTTATTACTAAAAAAAGTTATTGTAAAAAAACTAAAAAACCGTTTTTTACATGTTCCATAATTTTACACTTTTGCCGTTAATTAACGATCCTAGAGATCGTTTATAATTTTGTATTGCTGTCTGTCGTCTGTCTGTTGGTCTGTTCGTCTGTTCCTTTGTCTGTCTGTCCCTCTATCTGTCCGTGTGAACGATAGCTTTGTTTAGAAATGTCCGATCGCTTTGACATCTCCGTTAGTTATGAACTGAATTGCATGAAATTCAATTTGGGCATAGGTTTAGCAATGCCAAAAGTTGAGTCGAATCGATTCAAAATTCACAGTAGGTACCCTTTTTGCATCTCGACCTTTGAAAACCGAATTGCAAACTCTTTTATTTATGGAAGAATTTAAACGAAATTTGATACATAGCCGCTTGGAACAAAGGAAAATCTAACGTTAGTTTCAAAATTTAGATTTGCGCATGCGCAGTTCCAACTTTCTTATTTAGAAAAGCATTGAAATGAAAC